TCACTGTGTCTGCCTAAGCAGGTGCTTTAATCTGCTGAGCTATTTGGCCAGCTACCACACCCAGTCTTAATTGCCACCCAGTCTTAATTGCTGTGTCAGTGTGCCCCAGGGGTGGGGCCAGCACAGCAGGCCCGGGGATTGAACTCCCAGCCCCTGTGCCTGCTTGCAGGCACTTTAATCCACTGAGCTATTTGGTTGGCCCTTGAACCTATATTAATAACAATGTTAAAGCTAACACAAGTGTAGTAATTTCTACAATACTAAGCACCAAGTACTTAACATATATTAACTCATTTTATCCTTACAGAAACCTTTGACATAGATATTAGTGCTCCTTCCAATATATAGATGAGAAAATTGAAACCCTGAGCACAACCAGTAGCTGGAGAAGCTGTGATACAAACATAAGAACATTGGCTGTGGAATCTGTTTTTAACCATTACCACCTTCCTTTTAGTCTGTGTGGCAAGGGAATGGGATTGTGTGGTTTTTCTTCTCTTTGTCAGATATCCCCTTAGCACCTACTCAAGTGAGGTCAACCTAGTCAAGCCATATGGCTTTGCCCAGTGGAAGGGAAGAGAGTCTCAATGTTGGAGAGGAGTCACAATGGCTCCAGAGTACTTGTGAGAATCAGGTGAGTTCATGGATCTGAAGATGTGCATTAGGAAATGTATGAAAACCTACAAGTCTCAGTTTTTGCCACACAGAATCCTACCAGATAAGACTGTTCAGCTCTACTGATTAATTCAAGAAAGCACTCTCTTCTGTTACTTTTCCAGACCCATTCCTCTTAAGTCCCTAGCCTATTCTGATTTTTTTCCTTTGTTTACCATTTGTCCACTCAATTCCACCCTGGTCATCCATCATTCCATCTCTTGGATTCCAGGCTATCTTTGTATCTACTGCACTACCCCCAGCTGCAATAAGTAAAGCCAGACAGCTAGAGACCATTCATGAGCAAGTACAGCACAAGGTTAGCAGGCAAGGATGGACATGCAGACTGACTTAACAGGCATACAGGAACAGAGCAGCCTCTCAGAGGGCCTGTCTCCAGTTCAAAGTCCCAGCCATGCCCTCTTTCCTTATGCCCCACCTCCATGCTTTGAAGGTGCTTTATCCATCAGTGACCTTGGGCTAGACTTCCCCTGTGGGTCCAGGATTCCTTATTTTCAAAAAGAGTGGGTTGATAAGTTGATATTTGCTTAAACTGGTGACAGATGTCTAGGGTCTCACTATGTTTTTTTCTGTACTTTTTATAATAATTCCCATAATAAAAACATTTAAAGGTCAAATTGGATCAAATTAATTGATTATAACCTTTCTCTAACCAAAATCTTAGAGAAAGCCAGATTTATTTTTTTAAAAAAACAAACCTGATAGATAAGTGGAATAAAGGTGGATCTTCTTTGGTTGAAGGAAAGCCAGACTCCTATTCCTATTTCTCCCCCATAAATGTAATTAGCTCTACCCAAAGAACAAGGAATAAATACAGTTTGATGAAAAACACTGAACCAGATTAATCTAAGGACTTTTTGGTAGAGTGCTTTGTTTTCCTCTAGCTAGACTGGCTTTGCATTGACTATTAGCCAATATATCCCATTGCAGAAATAGTGATCATTATAGTTATTAATGATCTCTGCAGTCTTTGGAGAATGTGTTTGAATAGTTGCAGAAACATGGGCTGCTGATAGAGATGCATTTCCATGTCTGTCTCTGCTGAGTGTTTATTAATAATCTTGTTAATCCCCACTCTAGTTCCTGGATCTAGCTAATGCCTCTTGGATATCCTTAGGGGGCATTTAAAATTCTCCCTGATTTCTTGGAGCCAGACACTTTCTTCTGCCTGGAGTCCTCTCTGATACTTCCATTCATGAATATTTTACATTTAATCTCCCTGATTATCTCCACATGATGGGCATAGTGCACTGGCTGAATTTCTCAGGAAAGACATACAGGAAGCCCACAGTAAAAGCTTGTATTTGTAGACACAGTGCCAGAGATCTTTGTGCTTGCCATTGAGGTTGTTTTCTACCATTAGCATTGATGGAGGGGGTTCAGCCTACTGCCTCATATCCTGACTGCTGGCTCAAAAAAGCTGGTACTTTCACTCAGGATCAGAATCATGAGCTTGAGCCCGGTCTGGCCAACTTAGTAACTTAGCAAGACCCTGTGTCAAAATTTTATAAATAAATAAATAAATAAATAGATAAATAAATAAATAAATAAATAAATAAATAAATAAATGGCTGATGCTTGTAGTTCAATGCAAAGTCCCTAGTTTAATCCCCAGTTATATATCATATCTATTCCTACATATCAGCCCCAGGAAAAATGAAGTGAGATCTAACATTCTCATGTGATAGATGAAGTTAAAGAGGAGATGCAAGTCTGAAAGACCAGAAATTTAGAAGTCCCCAGGGTAAAGATATAGACCCAGACAAGTGCCAAGTACGGTGGCACATGCCTGTAATCCCAACTCAGGCAGGAGGACCGTACGTTTGAAGCCAACTTGGGCAACTTAGGAAGACTGTCTCAAAATTAAAAGTAGATGTTGGGGCCAGTGGGATAGCTCAGCAGTCTAAAGCCCCTGCTTAGACAAGCGTAGGCAAAGCACAGGGACTGCGGTTCAATCCCCAGCACCGCATGCTGTGCCAGCCCCATCCCCAGGGTGGGCTGAGCCAGCCACAGAAATAAATAAAATAATAAACTTTTAAAAAAAGAAGTAGATGTTGTGTGAGACCATGAGTTCAATCCCCAGTATTTGAAAAAAAAAAAAGATAAAAGATAAAATAAATATCAATCTAAACTATAGGAACGATCATGGTTCCCCAATGAGAGGGAAGAAGGCTAAGGAGACAATTAGCCATGGGAAGACACAGAAATGGTAGTCAAAGGGGCAAGCGATGAATCAAAGGAGCAGTTCTGGAAGTTGGGGGTGGGGGGCCAATTGCAAATGGATGTGGTATGTGTGACATATGACAAATGCTACAGAAAAAGTGGATTGTGACTTAGAAATGTAACAGAGCTTCTCTGGCAGGATCCCACCAACACACTTAGGGATTTGAAAAGCTGAGAGTTCAAGGCCAGCCTGAGCTCCATAGTGAATTCCAAGCCAGGCTGAACTACAAAATGAGAGTTTGTTTTTAAAATAAAATTTATTTTTTAAAAAAGCTCTCCTTCTGGCTACTTTGGGGGTGAGATCTTACTGAGGCCCAAGGGAAAAGCGCAACACTCCTACTCTCAGTACTCTCCCCCACTTTGAAAGGCATTTTGGTATAAAGAGGCACATAACAGCCACCTAAGGCCTGCTTCTCCGTGGTGGGGGGTGGGATGACACACAAGTGCCATCTATCAGGACTTTTCCAAGGAGGTTGAAGGATCAGGCAGGCTTGCAGTATTGGAAAGCTGCCTGAGATATACGCAGTGCAGTACCCACCTCTCCGAGCACAGCTTCCTGCTCCCTCCTCCTCAACTAATGCTAAAGTGGATCAGAGGAGAGAAGTCAGGTTCTTCCCTCAGGAATTTATAAAACGTTGGTGAAACTTAGGGTCTGGTGGGCTAGAAAGCTTGGAGAAACACAGACAAGGGCAAGATTTCCCTTCCAAATATACTAGACTTTTTTTTCTCTTAGTGACAAGCACAAGTTCATGCCCACTGCCAGATTTTACAAATAGAGCCACAACAATGGTTATATATCTTTCCATTCCTGAATTACCAGTGGACACACTGACCTTTGAATCTAACACTGAGAATCTGACCTATCTGCCTACTTTCTGCTTCCCTAAGGCAGAACAGGAATAAACCTTGGATCCCATCTGCAATGCTCATACCTTCGGCTTACCACTCTATAACTGCTGGTTACATATCAAAGATGTCTAGCATATGGTGCCCATATTAAGGATTGATCATCCAGTTCTAGGGAAAATATAGATGATTGCAGCCCCCTCCCACTGACTGAGGGAGAGTAGGCCCTAGGTCTTGTAGGACAGTTGGGTATTTTAGCCTTAGGTAGACAAGGATACCTAAGGACTCTGGACAGCCCAGAGGTAGAAATAGTGAGGAGGCTAGCAAGAGAGACTGAAAAGGTTGCGACATTCTGGACAACACAGAGAATATGTATCCTCTTTCTTTATCATCTGTAACAGCAAGTATTTTGCATGTTGGGCAACACAAAGCTGACTGGCTGCCTGCTAATTTGTGATTATTTGTCTTCTCCCATAGCCAAACTTTCAGGTTCTCCCAGGAGACGTTCTTTAGGATTCATGTAGCACTGAAGAAGCCCACATTAAAATGTTTCTTTGTCCAGAGGCTGACACCTGAAAATCTCCCTTGCTTTGGCCAGTTGGTTCTGTGGATCTTGTGGTGCAGGGACCTGTCTGCAGCTCTGGGAAAGGAAAGAGAAGGCCCATCCCAAGGAGCGCTTAATCTAAACTTAATCCAGAATCCAGAAAGACTGTTCCTAACAAGTATATAGGAAGGGCCTAAAGAGCAGGAAAACTAGTGTGAGAGATTGGAGAGGAGGCTTTATGTATTTAAAGACATTGTGGTGAGATTCTTGGAGGGACCTGGATCATACGGGATTTTGAAGCCTGGCATCCACTTGGGTGTAAGTGAGGCCAAAATACTTGACTTTTCTGCACAACTCAGCATCTTTGTCCCATGGTACGTGGCTCTTCCCTCTGTCCCTGAAAGTCCAGCCTGCTGCCAGGGGCAGATGTTCCCACAAGCCTAGAGCGCAGGTGAGAAGGCTTGTGTCAGGGTTGAAAGCAGCCCCCATGCTCACTTACTAAGGATTCTGTCTCTCCACTTTTCCCCCTCAGGATCCAGCCGCCACCTCCATCTCAGACGGAGACTGTGACGCCCGGGAGGGTGAGTCAGTAGCCATGAATTACAAACCATCCCCGCTCCAGGTGAAGCTGGGTGAGTGTGTCCGGGGAGTGAGGGAGATGTGGGAGTGGAGAAGGTACTCTGGGCTGGGTCTAAGGTGAGATGTCATAAATAAAGCAACTCAGGATAGATGATTCCACAACTCAACGACCAAGTCATGGGTGCTGCCAGACACCATATTTCCTAGAAATCAAAGAATATAGTTACAGTTCTCTATAAATCCTGAAATTCTAGGAGGCATCTCTGAGGTCAAGAGCACTACAGGTATGCCAAGGGATAGTTGCAGGGGTAAAAGCATGAAACCCAGGCAGAGGACTTGGAAGGCTCATTAAACACTCAGTCAGAGCCAGGTATAGTGACACACACCTGTAGTCCCAGCAATCAGGAGGCAGAAGGGCTGGTGAGATGGCTCAGTGGTCTAAAGCACCTACTTAGAACAAGCTCAGCAAAGCACAGGGACCACGGTTCAATCCCCCAGCACCACATGCCAGCCAGCCC